TCACCGTATGCGCCTTTCTTCGGCTTCTTGTTGTGATTTTCTTTTGTCATATTCACCAACTCGACTCGTCAGATCCGTCCAGCTTCTACGCTTAGCGCGTGTTGGCGCCCTTGCTTCAACTTGTTTTTCCTTTCTCTAGCCTCGCTCTCGACTCTCGGTTTCTCCATCGTAGCCTCCGGGCAAAGGGTGATATGTTGACTCGATTCATCCGATGACCTCGACATCGGGTGCTTCGGGGATTTAATGGTGACCGAGGACGTCGAACCATGAGCACTTCCCGCATGCGTGAGCCGCCCGCTTATTGATGTTAGTTTTCATACTTTGCCGGAGTTGTTGATGACTTCAGAGGGCGCCTCGACGCCGCAGATCGAGTCTCCTTCTTGGTAAGGTAGAATAGCTGTTGTTGTTGTGCCAACTAGTTGGGTTCCGCTATCCTCAGGAACGGAACCTGGCCAGTGGATGATACAGTCTCGCGATGTTATCGTTAGCACGAGACCCTCCCCGAGCTCCTCGCTGGTATCCCAAGCGTTGGATTGAAAAGACCTTTCGAACTCGTCCCCGATAGGATTTTGTCGTGTTGTCGAGCCCAAATGGAAAAGAACTCGCCTTTTGAAAGAACTCGAGGATAATCCGAGTTGTTTTGGGTTGTGCTCGAATCTTGCCAAAAAGAACTCGGTTTCTTGAAAGCACTTGAATAAGACTTCATCTCTGACACGGAGCTTGAATTCGAGTCGGATGCGTGTAGCCGTGAAATCTTATTCGAATCGGGTATTATGGGTCATGCGAATCTTCCGGTGAGCTGATCCGTCAGAGTTGTCGAAATAGGAAATTCTTCATGATGATCCGGATCTTTGAGGAGATGGCTTTGAAGCTTGCCGTAGTTGTTCGCCTCGCAAATCCATGAGCCAAGATGAAAATCGATCCCGCTTGGAAAGATCATGTTATCGAGGTCCATCGAGCTCTCGGATGCAAAGTCGCCGAAAGCCCCTACCCGGCGCGCCACCGTCCGATGTTTCACCATCGATAGCTCGCCACCACGGGGTACCCGGGCAAGATTGTTCGGCTTTCGCGATGTCGAACTCGATGGTAAACGCAAGAGACAATGATTTATCCTGGTTCAGCCCTCGATCGAGATCGAGTAACGACCAGACGTCCAATGGGCGTTGGCCTTTATGTTGGATTGATTATGAAGTGTTATGTTGTACCATTGTCGTCCTCTTTCAGAAGCCCCGCCCTCCTTTATATAGTCAGGAGGCCAGAGTCCTAGTCGGTTTACAATGAGATTTCCTAGTAGGATTACTTAATAGTTCTACTACTAAGATTACATGGGAAGAATCCTAGTTGAACTAGATCTTCTCTCTTGCGGGGTATCCTATGGGTCCCGCATCGACAACTGTTCTTCAATATTTTTCCTTCTTTTAAATATTTCATTTTTTGTTTCATTGTATCTTTTAGTTACATAATATTTTGCACTGGTTGACAGCTAGTCATATTTTCCAACTTTTGCAATGGATTGTATAATAACTTGCTCCTTCAGTTGACAGCTTATGCAATGCTTTTTTTTAATAATTTACCCCCATGTTGCATATTGTCTTTGTTTTTGGTTTGCTATTCTTGTTTTTTAATAATTTCCCTAGTCGGCAGCTAGTTGCATTATTTCTACATGAATTCTTACTCGTTTTACATTATATAAGTTGCAACAAACTCTCACTAGCAACTTGATCCACGCTCTTAAACTACTATAAAATAGGGCTAGTACCTTTATGTAAATACTATATAATATTTTTTATATATTTTCCGTGATAACAATCGATGTGCATATTATATAAAACTTTAGTATATTTTTGTAGTAACAACTTTAGTATTAACTTCTTTGATAATTCTCCTAGCACATATTTACATATAATTTGCTATTAAAATAATTTTTTCAAACATATATAAGTGAGGTCTAATTTTGTTCGTCTGTCACGTAGAATACAGCGACGCAAAGGAATTGAAAACGAATACAACATTCAAAATCTATAGCAATTCAAATAAAATACGAAGTATTGTTTTTTTTGGTTTGCGTGCCGCTTGGACCACAGGCATGCAGCTGGCTTGTCTGGGCGCTTGCACTGGCCTGCTGTGGTCTGTGGATCGCGCGTAGTAGGACAAAAATAACCGAGAACCGAATCGAAATAACCGGAACCAAAACCGAAGTAACTGAAACCGAAATATTCAGTCCCAGGTTCGGTTCTAGGTTCTGAAGAACCGAACTTACTACGGTTATTTCGGTTCTGGTGCTCGGTTAACTGAAATAACTGAAATAACCGAACTAATCCCCTCCTCGCTGGTCGCTGGCTCGCTGCCCCGCCTGCCCCACGCAGGCCACGCCCCTCACATCCCACCCCGCCTGCCCCTCACATTCCACCCTGAAACCTAATCCCTCCCCAGTCCCCACTCCCAATCCCGCCGCCGCCGCTCCCCACTCCCCTCCTCGGCTCCTCGCTACCCCGCCGGCCGCCGCTCCCCACTCCCCTCCTCGGCTCCCTCGCTACCCCGCCGCTCCCCACTCCCCTCCTCGGCTCCTCGCTACCTCGCTGCCCCCAATCCCCCCGCTCCCCACTCCCCTCCCCCCCGCGAAGGCGCTAAGGCTAGCCGCGGCGGTGGTGCATCACCCGGAGGCGGTGCTCCTCGGCTGCGCGTCATGCGGACGCGGAGGCGAAGCGCTCGGGCGGCTTGGCCATGACGCAGCCAATCTCCCTTCCCCTCCTTCTCTCAACTCTCAGATCCAGCGGCTCCGCCGCTCCGGCATGGCCCCATGCCTCCCTCTCTTTCGTCCTGCATACGACGGCAGCACGTGAGATAGGGAGACGTGCGGCGGCGAGCAGGGCGAGGCAAGCCATGCGACGGCGAGCTAGGCAAGCGGCGCAGCAAGCGCGGCGAGGCGACGCTGGCATGCAGCGCGTAGGTGGTGCGCACCACGCAGGGTGAGGCGCAGCGCAGCGGCAGCAAGGAGACGTGTTTTTCGATCTGTAACCTAGAAATCGAATCGATGCTTTGTTCTTCATCGCTGCTGGAATTAGTGATTTGTGTTGCTCGATGTGCGATTCTGTGATTTTTTTTCTCTATTCCTAGCACCTCGGTTAGTTCAGTCATAACCGGAACCGAATCGAATTAACCGAAATCGAATTTGGTCGGTTCCCAGATTTCAAAAGAATCAATCGTTTACTATTTCTTAAGGAACCGAATTTATCAAGAAACCGAAGAACCGAATCGATCGGTTTCGGTTATCCGAATGCCCAGGGTGAGCGCGTAGGGCTCTGGCGTCGTGCAGTATCCGTGTCCTAGTTTTGAACGGTAAGTGTCGGCGCATTGGGTGGGCTGGCGACATTAGGCCTGGGCCTGTACACTGCGCGGTGAGGCCCATCTCGCCCTCACTTCAACTCGCCGTCGGGCACCGTCGCCGCCTCGCCGGGCGCCCCTCCCCTTCTTCCGGCACACGATGATCCGGCCGGCCACCGACCTTGCTGGCGGATCGTAATGGCCCCACTATCCGCGGCACCCCCTTCTCCGCTCGCTGTCTCCTCGACGACATGGACTGGAGAGCAGCGTCGAGGGAGGAGTCAATCGCATCGTCGCTCCACGGATGCCGGCACTCGCGTCGTTTCCCCGCCGCCGGCCTGGACCTAGCTAGAGAAGGTCTAACCCGTATCCTCTTCTTCCTTCACTCACTCGCTCTTTTTTTTGGCGCTGGTCCCAGCTCAAGATTATTGATTAGAGGTGGGGATGGTAGACCTATTTCTCTTCTGCATTGTTGATTAGAAGTGGAGATGGTATGCTTTCCTGGAAATGTGGGTTGTTGATTAGATGAGCAGATCTACCGTTGCAAACTGATCTGAATGAAAGGAACAATCCCATGTGCCTATCTTGCTTCCGATCAATAATGCCTTGCCTATAAGATTATTGCTGCATCTGAACCATAGTTTAGGCATAGACTGAAATTGGGAATTTTTGCTTGTTTCAGGCATATATGACACATTGCAGGCGTTTTTTTTTTTAAAGTAGATGTTTGACACAATCTAATGCTATTTCTTTTACCTTTTAGACATATGAGGCACAGGTCAGATTCTTCCTGAAATGATTTGAAGAGTGAATGATAATCAAGCCATAAAATACAACACACTAGTCCAAATTTACAGCATCCAATGGCATATGGGGTAAAAGGACACAGGACAGTAACAATTCATCAAGATAAAGTACATATAAACCAGTACAAGACAAGATACAATCAAACATGTAGCAGTGGGTCACCAATTGCAACAGAAAGTCTTCCCACGAGCTGCTTTCCGTTCCAGAATTGGCATTCAAGCATGCAGTGCAGTCAAAGAGCAACGGGGACCGCTGGTCTTACTCTAGGCATCGGTTTAATTTGTTTCCAAGATGGGACAATTTGTGTTTGCTGCAACTGCTTGTTGCATCCTTTTGATGTTGAAGTAACTGTAAGTTTGACCACTTTGAGGCTCAGAGGTCGCTCAATTCCAGTAAGATACTGTGACCCTGTGGAAATCCAAACTAGCTTCTTGAGCTTAGGAGTGGATTTATCGCCAAAGTTGATGACAGTCACACCTGAGCACTCAATGACAAAGAATTTGAGACATTGAAATTCATCTATGCCAGGGTAACCTTGGTTAGTTCCCTGAGCTTTTCAACCCTTGCTGGGAATCCACTTACCAGACCACTGATTTATTGAGTATGAAGGTACTTTGGTGGTATGAGTAATGGCTATTCCTAAGTGGTGGTTTGATAGTTTCACAATCTTAATAAATTCCACATGCTACCAAGTATTGATGTTATGGGATAAGAGCCTTTATCAATCCTCAATGCTGCACTGAACAAGACAATAGGGATGTGTAGAATGCACACCACTTACTTTCTCAACTTAGTAACGATGAAACGACCGGACGACAGAAACATTGGAAAAAACTGAACGAACAGGCTGCAGAGATGTGATCCTTGTACTAGCATGTCGTGCTACTAAGATTGGTAGCACATGCGACATTGGACAGGTCCATTGAAGCGAGAGAATATTCATGGTTGAGACTCATTTTCTTGATTTCTTCAGACCTAGATTTCATCACGTCATCATTTTCCTGTGGTACTTTGAGTCTGGAAGATGAACTGGATTGATCCTGAAGTGGCCTTTGTGTGACATTCTCAGTAGTTGATTTCTCATCTCGCAGAGGATAATTCTGTGCAGCATCAATATCCATTGGATCAACGGTGCTCAGAAGTCGAATATTGGGCCTGTTTGGATGATCCCTAGCTGCTTGTTGCCATTGATCCAGTTTTATAGTTTGATCAGGATGAAGTGTAACTTCCTTAAGGGATTTCAGGTGTGCGATCTTGATGCCAGAAGGGCCATTTAGACCTTTAAAAAGCAGCTGAAGTGCGACAAGCTTTGATAGAGCCCCCTCTTTGATTACCAGGATATTATTTGTCGGTTGTTGAAGCACAAGACACAGGCGCAGCAGCTTCGGGAATGCCCCTGCTTCTATGATGAATTCTTCAAGCTGGTCTGCAATCAGCTTGAGATATTGCAAGTAGCGTAATTTGCTCACTGTAGCCAGGATATCTGCTGTCAGGGTGCTCGTTGAAAGGCACAACTCACGGAGACCACGCAATAATGAAACAAACGGTGGCAATGCCGTCCCTAACATGCCATGCAATTTCAGTGAGCTAAGATAGCAGGGGCCTTTCAATGAATGGAAGTCCAAAGAGGAAACCTCAAAATGAAGTGACAGGGAGCGGTCATCCTGGTTAGTCTGCTCCTCTTCATCGTCATCTTGGATGTACTTTTGAACAGCCTCCACAAGATGAACTGTGCCACTGCTGCTGGAAATAGACTCACACCATGCTTTGATCTTTCGCAGATTGTTCATATGACTCAGTAGCTGCAGAAATCCTTCACTTTCACCAACGATAAATCCTGCCAACGTCTGCAAGTTGCTTTTCCTTGATGAGAAAAACTGTTCTGCCTTACTCATTTGTTTAGCTTTACCAGTGAGCCTAAATTTTCCAAGCAGATGGACGAGAAAGGGAAGTGACATGACGTCTATGGGCAGTGTTCTGACATTTGTTCTCCTTATGTCGAGTGTCTGCAAAAATTCCAGATTTGCAATCTCTCTTGGAAGTTTTGTAATTGTTCCTCCCAGGCTAAGGTACTTCAGCAGCAGCAAGTTGCAAATTCCTGTAAGTTTTTCTTCACTCAAATTGTTGCATTCTTCAAGATCTAAAACACGTAGTAGCTGACAGTTCCCAAAATCCACCAAAGTTTCATCTGCCTCATTGAAGATCGTCAGCGATCGGACAAGTGATACATTACCAAAACTCACATTGGCTGTACCACCACGATGGAGACAGAGCCGACGGACACATTTAGGTTGCCCCCTCTGATCACAGAGCAACTTTACTATGCCGTCACAACATAGGGTAATGAAATCTTGAGAGACGGACTTGCGTATAATGAACTCGAGCATCATTCCACAGGTTCTGCATGTCTTCACCTTTTCATTGTAGCTCACATCAATGGGCATGGTGATATTCCGGTCTATGAATTCCTGAAAATTCATCACTGCAAGGTCTTGTGTTTCTACAAGGCCTTCAGCTAACCAACGCCTTAACAACCTCTTCTTCCTGATTGGATGCTCACTTGGGAACAAACCCAAATATAGCAAGCATGCTTTGAGCTCATGCCCATGCAGGCTTGCATAGTTCTTTGCTAGCACCCCTTGCATCCTTGCCAAGGTATCTTTGTCCGTCTCCAAATAGTAGCCTAGCCTGTTGCACACATCTTTACAGCTTGTTCCATTTGGCACACACGTTTTGGACATGAACTGGGCTATGCTAACAAGGGCAAGTGGTAGACCATCACATTTCTTCAAAATCTGTGTTTGCTCGAGTTCAACTTTTGGCCCTTTCCTCTTGAACAGTTGTGCTGAATGTTTCTGACCAAGTCCTCTCATTTTGTAGATATAGCGGTCTTCAGAGCTGCAAGCATAAGCTATTGACTGAATAGGCGTTGTCACTATTATTCTGCAACTGAGACCCTTGTTATCAGGGAAGGCTGATCCTATAGTACTCCAGAGTTCAGTCCTCATGTCATCAATCACAATAAGGTACCTAACAGGAAAATCAATGATAGTGAACAGTTATAAAACTGTTTTAAGGCCAGGATAACCAATGGGTTATGCGGGCATAGGTTCTCATACCGCGCGATAATTAACCGGCTCAACATTATACATGATAGCATTAAACGATGGCATCATTTGGGTGTAATCATTTGAGGTATTGTATTTTTTAGTTTGTTCAATGCTAACTAAAATTTATTTCCAATCATGTACTGAGAAGAGAACAATTGATGCCTGATCTGAGTGAATTTTCTCAAAATTATAATAATTCTGTACCTCTTATCTTGCAAGTACCCTTCAAGTTTTGAGCTTAGGAGTTTGACGTTGCTGGTACCCTGTGGTTCATTGTGAAGACCAAGACTTGAGTGAAGGGATAATACAATATCCTTGGCATCCTTATCCTGTGCATCAATCCAAGCCTTCGGACTGAACTGCTTAGCAGCATCGCTATCATACACCTGCTCAGCAAGAACGGTCTTCCCTACCCCATTGAACCCAACGATGGAGATAACCTTCCTTCCCCTTTCGTCCTCGTTATCTTCCAGGAGCTCCAAGAGCTCCTCTTGCGGCATGTCGATTCCGACGAGGTCGGCCTTCTTGGTGTGCGGAACATACGCAGGCGCCGGCTGCTCAACCGGAGTAGACCACTGAGAATCGGATGTGTACCTCCGTATGCGCTCGCATGGTTCCTTGACTTTCTTCCGGAGCTTCCGGATCTCGTCGGCGAACTGGGAGCTGGGAAGTACCATGGTGGCCCGACGGATGGACGATGCTTTCTGCTTGTAGGTGAGACGATACACGTAGCGGTCTATGCAGTCCTCAATCTCATAGGCCAGTTGACGCAGCTCCTGGATCCACTGAGTTCGCGCTGAGCTAAGATGCTCTCCCCTGGAGATCTGGTCATCAATAGTTCTAGCAATCATCTCAAGCTCATGCTGCAGGAATTCGACGTTACCTTTGACCCTCTTGTGCAGCTTGTACTTCTCACTTGAGAGAGAAAACAGCCTTGGCACAATAATTTTGATGAATCCACTCACCAGGGCAGCCTCCATCTCTCTTACCGGCGTGCAGTCCTATTGATCATCCCATTTGTGTTGGTTTCTCCTATGTGCTTGTTGACATGGGAAGGCAAGAGGTCGTAAGGCTAGTGGGTGAAGTGGGAAGACAACATGTAATGCGGTTACTGTTGTAAAAAAAAAACTAATGCGGTTACTGGCTTGTCACTAGAGGTTGGGTCTACATGTGCTGATTGACATGTATGTATTTGGACCCATTCTATTGCTTTGGAACGACAACGCTGTCGACCTCCAAGAAGACCAAGATATTTGCATCGGCAGATTCCCCATATCGCCGGTAACGGTGCGACAGTCCTCGGCCACTTAAATTAACAGGTTATGGCCCTCCAAGAACGTGGCCAAAACCGCTAAGAGGAACAAATTGTGGCTCCCAATATTCAAAACAGGAAGTATACTTCAAAATAATGAGCTGCGTAGACACTACTACTTCCATTCCAAATTATAAAATATTTACGTAGCTTTTACTATTAACTTATATATAGTAAAAACAATATATATCTAGGAAAGACAAAGACGTCTTATAATTTGGAATGGAGGAAATATTACATGACAAATGACTTAGTAAGACAACCTGGATATTATACCGGGCTGCCAATGGCAAGGGCCTGTAAATACGCTTTCCAAATGTGGTTTTCTTAATAACCTCCTCTCCCTAGCATTATTTTGTGATCACCAATAATCTAGTCCCACACCATAAACCCCCCAACACACAACACGCACAAATAGTCGGTTGATCCACCTCTCCTAGTAAATCTGGCACATGCCTTTTTCGTGATCTGTTGCACGTACCGCACTCAGACTGTAGATGGACCCATTGCTGACTACTACACCTTCCACATCGCGTCTTGCTATCTCGGCGCCGTTTGCTTCGCTGAAAAAACAAGCCGAAACACTGTTTCGACTAATTTGTTGTGAGAGAAAAATATTGTTCCGGCTGAAAAAACAAGCTGAAAAAAACGGATTATAAGATAAACGAACAGGGCCTCGGTGTCGGTGGATGCAAGCACCTCAAACACCCATCACTTACTGCATAGATTTCCCAAATTAGTGACCTGCTAGCAAAGCGCCATATTTGTCACATTCCTAACATGGATCTCCACGAAGCGAACTCCCTCGTGTTGTTACTATCGTCGATCAACGTGAAATTGCCACTACTACAGGAATCTTTTGCGAGGTGGTCAGAAACGGTTTCCGAGGCGGGCACAACAAACGTCTCGGAGGAAATGTCATGGTAAATGGTGGGTTTTCCTCCGTAAATGAAATTTGCAAAGTAAAAAAATCCAGCCCGCGAGCCTAGTGGCCCACCGAGCCCACCCGTTGGGATCTACCGCCGCCGGGAGCACCGCCGGCAGATCCAGCCGGCCTCCCACAGCTGGATCCAGGCGCACGCCGCGTCATCGGGCCGCTCGCGGCCGCATTCACCCTCTCCGTCGCCGACACCGGAGCGCGACACTGGATCTGTGCTCGCCCTCCACTGCCGCCCGCCACCCTCCACCGGATCTGGCGCAAGGAGGAGGTGGCGCCCCCACCACACCGTCGCCAGCCACCGGATCTATGCTCGATGGTGGGGGTAGGAGACGAAGGGGCGCCGGATCCGTGGTGGTGGCACCGGATCCGGGGTGGTGGAGGTGCGCCGTCCTTGGGGAAGAAGGGGAAGGCCGCCGGATCCGGGGTTGTCAAAAAAAAAAACCTAATGCGGTTACTGGCTTGTCGCTAGAGGGTTGGGTCTACATGTGCTGATTGACATGTATGTATTTGGACCGATTCTATTGCTTTGGAACGACAACGCTGTCGACCTCCAAGAAGACCAAGATATTTGCATCGGCAGATTCCCCATATCGCTGGTAACGGTGCGACAGTCCTCGGCCACTTAAATTAACAGGTTATGGCCCTCCAAGAACGTGGCCAAAACAGCTAAGAGGAACAAATTGTGGCTCCCAATATTCAAAACAGGAAGTATACTTCAAAATAATGAGCTGCGTAGACACTACTCCTTCCATTCCAAATTATAAAATATTTACGTAGCTTTTACTATTAACTTAGATATATAGTAAAAACAATATATATCTAGGAAAGCCAAAGACATCTTATAATTTGGAATGGATGAAGTATTATATGACAAATGACTTAGTAAGACAACCTGGATAATATACCGGGCTGCCAATGGCAAGGGTCTGTAAATACGCTTTCCAAATGTGGTTTTCTTAATAACCTCCTCTCCCTAGCATTATTTTGTGACCACCAATAATCTAGTCCCACCATAAACCTAATTTGTTGTGAGAAAAAACATTGTTCCGGCTGAAAAAATAAGCTGAAAAAGACGGATTATAAGAGAAACGAACAGGGCCTCGGTGTCGGTGGATGCAAGCACCTCAAACAGCCATCACTTACTGCATAGATTTCCCAAATTAGTGACCTGCTAGCCAAGCGCCATATTTGTCACATTCCTAACATGGATCTCCACGAAGCGAACTCCCTCGTGTTGTTACTATCGTCGATCAACGCGAAATTGCCACTACTACAGGAATCTTTTGCGAGGCGGTCAGAAACGGTTTCCGAGGCGGGCACAACAAACGTCTCGGAGGAAAGGTCACGGTAAATGGTGGGTTTTCCTCCGTAAATGAAATTCGCAAAGTAAAAATATCCAGCTCGCGAGCCCAGTGGCCCACCAAGCCCACCCGTCGGGATCTACCGCCGCCGGGAGCACCGCCGACGGATCCAGCCGGCCTCCTGTAGCTGGATCCAGGCGCACGCCGCCTCATCGAGCCGCTCGCGGCCAAATCTGCCCTCTCCGTCGCCGACACCGGAGTGCGACACCGGATCTGCGCTCGCCCTCCACTGTCGCCCGCCACCCTCCACCGGATCTAACGCAAGGAGGAGGTGGCGCCCCCACCACACCGTCACCAGCCACCGGATCTACGCTCGATGATGGGGTAGGAGGCGAAGGGGCGCCGGATCCGTGGTGGTTGCACCGGATCTAGGGTGGTGGAGGTGCGCCATCCTTGGGGAAGAAGGGGAAGGCCGCCGGATCTGAGGTGGTGGAGGTGCGCCATCCTTGGGGAAGAAGGGGAAGGCCGCCACCTCCACATCGCTGCCTCGACCTCGCTGCCGGTGGGGAAGAAGAGGATGGCCGCCGCCGCTTCCACCCCGCTACTCCCCGCCGAACGCCGACAAGGGGCGCCACCGCGTGGGGGAGAGAGGATTCTCATGTGCCACCATGTGGGGGAGAGAGGGGTGCGCCACTGCGTGGGGAAAGGAGGGGCAGTGCAGGGGAGAGGGAAGAGCTCATGGGAGAGAGGGAGGGGCGTAGGGGAGACCGATGCTCGTAGGAGAGAAGGGCGCGGGGAGCGCGCCGCTCGATCTGCTGAGGAGAGGAAGAGAAATGAGTGAAGCCATAACTTCGTGTATTTATATCGTAGACGGTTACTGGGCCTTGCATGGGCCAGTTGGGCCTCAACCTTTTTAGAGGCGGGCCTTATAAACGACCTCCTCGATTAATTTATTAACCAAGGCGGTTGCGTTAGAACAACCGCCTCGGTTAATAGGCATTAACCGAGGCGGTTCTATTGCGTTGCTCGCCTCGGTTAAGCATTAACCGATGCGGTTGCTGGGCTGGTTACCCTGCCATGAATAACCGAGGCGGGCAACTGGCCCAACAGCCTCAGAGGCCTTTTTCCAAACGCCTCGGTTAAGTTTTTGTGTAGTAGTGTGCATAGGGGGCATAGACTCTCTTGCAGTGGAGGAGGTGTAGGTTGTAGTTGGAAAAAGGAGAAGGAGAGGAACACAGAGATCCATACTTGCCCGCATAATAAGGAAGAGAAGGAGGGATGGTGAAGGAGGTAGTGAGGTAGTGGAAGGGCCGATGGAGGATACGGGGAGAGGTGAGAAAGGAGAGAGAAATAAATGGGGAGGGAGAGAGACTCATCCTAAGTGTTTCGTTGCAACCCCTTCCCCAATAATCACAAAACTAGTGTTGAAGCTCTCCCATTACCTACATATTGGAGATGAGTTATTGGGAATTGCTAGAGATACTCTTAGAGCAACTCCACCTGATCGGTACATTCCCTTTCCTCTTTTTCCTTAAAATTGCTATAGAGGACTAGAAAAACAAGATTTCTAGTTTTAGAGGATTGTTGCAAGATTGAAAATAAATTCATTCCCTTTACCCCCCTTACATGTGGGACCCACGTGTGTGTGGGTCAATTTTTTTATATCATTTGTCCTCCCCATGGCCAGATCTATCTCCCCTCCCTTTTCTCTTTTCCATGAGCAATTCTCTATCTCTTGTGCCCCTTCTTTAGTCTACTATGCTCATCGTTGCGGTAGCCTACGCCTTCTACTCTCTTGCCTGGCCTGACGGCTACTTATTTGGCCCACGTGCGCGATGGCGTGATGGCATACTGAAAGTGCATTGCCCCTATGTGGGTTTTGGTGTATTGATGATATCCAAATTAGGGACTAATGAGATCTTAATGAGATATATTGCAGCTTTAGTATAAAAGGTGGACAAACTCAAAGCGATCTTCATAGTTTACTTTTCTTGTTTTGGGTTTAGGTTTGTCGTACTAAGAAGAGGGATGCAAGTTTAGGTGGTCTGAGCAAGATAGAGTGCTCAAGCATAAAAATAAAATCAAAAGAGAGACACTCAAGCACCTCACGAACACTTAGATATAGTTTTTGGGAGTTTGGTCGTCGGAAGTGCCGACACTAGCCAAAAGTCCCGGCTCCTGCTCCGGCTAACTCCCGGGCCCTTGGGGCTTAGTCGCCCAGCTTGGCTGACCATCGGAGGTCCCAATGGGAGTCAGAAGTGCTGGCTACCGGAAGTCCCGACAGTCATCGAGTAGTTCCAACTCTGGCTGAGTCAGCCAAGTTGACTATGGTTTGAACGGTGCTTTTCTTAGGCGCCAAAAGTTCCGGCGATCTATGTCAGAACTTCCGACGCAGATCTGAATGGTTGGCTTTTGTCTAAGAGTATA